GGATCTCATGGGTGTTGTGATTCCTAGGAACACTACTATTCCTATAAAGAAGGAAACAGTTATTTATACAGTCGAAGATGACCAATATTCAGTCAGGCTTCCGGTTTGTGAGGGCGAGAGAGTAAAAGCAAGTGATAATAATTTGTTGGGTTCTTTTAGTATTTCTGGCTTACCCCCAGCTCCTCGTGGCTATCCTTTTGACGTGACTTTTACAATAAATGAAAATGGCATTCTTTCTGTTTCTGCGGAGGATAAAGTAACCGGTAATAGGAATGAAATTATAATATCCAATGACAAAGGAAGACTATCAAATGCAGAAATTAGTAAAATGATTAAGGAAGCAGAGGATTATAAGTCTGAAGATGAGAAGTTTCTTAAGAAGGCCAAAGCAATGAATGATTTAGATTTTCATGTTTATAAGATCAGAAAGGCTTTAAAGAAAGAAGAAATCAGCTCAAAGTTGAGCTCGAAAGAAAAGCAAGATATCATGTCTAAAATTTCTAGAGCCACTGATATGCTTGATAGTCAGAACGAGATGGAAGATATAGTTGCTATTGAAGACTTTCTGAAAGATCTTAAAGTAATCAGTGAACGAATTATTATGGTCATGGAGAAGATTGTGTAGTTGTTTTAAGCTGTTATGTTTTGTGTGTCACTGATTTGTCATTAACTTGTGATAAAATCAAACTTTTATGTTTTGGCAGGTATCGTTTGAATATTTGATAGTGTAGTAGTAATTGTATTCGTTTTGAAAATGGTTATTGTTGCAAATGCAAATCATTTACATTTGATTTATCTTTGGAATCTTCAATTCTCGCAGTTTAGCCGCTTCTAGCTTTTGTAAATTTGTTTGCTTCTATTTTAATGTGACGAATACATACTATACGTTACTTCAAAACTTATTTAACTTCAAAAGAAAAAAAAAATACTCATTTTTCAACAGAGAAGAATTTTAAAAGTATCAAAGTCTTTATACTTCAAAAGTCACTAGTTCTTCATTTATAAGAAATTTATTGGTTTAATGGGTTTCTTATGCCTTGACTAAATATTTCTATTTTATCTTACATTTTCATTAAAATTATTATAATTATTTTATTTATTAATAATAATAAAATATGAAGAGAAGGTTTAAAGTAAAAATCCTTTTGAACGATAAAAATTGAAAAGCCTAATGTATATTGAATACAAATGACTAAAAACACAGTTATCAATATCTTGCTTTTACTGTATAAAAGATTCTAAGCAATAAGGGTAGATGATGACATACGCAACAATATTTTAGAGATGTTTTTTTTTCCACTTAATAAAAGGGAGAAGTAAAATGTTATATTTGTAGAATGATTGAGATTATAACATACTTTTTCAAAAAACACTGGTGAATAATATCCTTAGATTTACAGAGTCTTTTTATCATTAGAAATTGAAATGTTATATGTGTCATGATTTTCTATGTGAAGTAATCAAAGTTGCTTATGGGAATGTAATGAGTATCCTCTTAGTCTTTTGGTTTTCCATGGTCCATTCAGAAGTTTAACGTCAGACGCCAAGAGTCGTTTATGGGAATAAACAGTAGTGATTTCCGATGACAGATATAAATTCCTTTACGCCGATAAAAAAAGGTTGATTGGCGAAGCTGCTAAGAATCATGCAGCTAGCAACCCAGAAAACCTGTCTTTGGTACGTTTCAACTCCAAAATATTAATGTTTTTCATGATTTCTCTCTAGAGTGAAGGTATTGAGAATGTTTCGAATTTGGTTTTGTTGGATTGTCTCTTGGTATATCCATGGAGGGAGATCTCATGAGTGTTGTTATTCCTAGGAATACTGTTATTCCAGTTAAGAAGACCCAGATATATCATACATCAGTAGATAACCAAATCTCTGCGTACATTGGGGTTTGTGAAGGTGAGAGAACCAAAACTTCATGAAGAAGGCCAATGCAATGAATGCTTTGGATGACTTTATTTACAAGATGAAGAATGCATTGAAGAACAGCAATATCAGTTCAGAACTTTGTCCACAAGATAGGGAGAAAATCAATTCTGCTGTTAAGAAGCTGCAACAGTTAAGAAAGCTACAAAGTTGCTTGATGAAGACCAGCAGCGGCATTGATTGAGGATTATCTGAATGAGCTTATGGACTTTTTTGACACTGTCATTAGCAGCTATGCTTAGATGTTTCTAGTTTAGATTTTATCTGATGCGGATCTGTTATTTCTTTTTAGATAAACACGAACTTTCTTCTCATTGTTATTATCTGAACAATGTTCAAGTTAAAATATATTTGTAGTGGACATTGTTATAAATTGTTGTTATCTTTTGCTGCCATGGATTTTTGCTGAATGATCTTTGGACTGTTTTCCATCTACACTGACTATTACTTTCACTAATTCTTCTCAAACGTGCATGTGCTTTATTTCCATTGACCATGCATTGGAATCTTTAGTTGTGTCCATGAAGAAACTATTGTAGAGAGATGTTGACCTAACAATCTTTATATAGTATTTCTTTTTGTCTAAAAAATTAAGTTCGGTCCAATCTGTGTTCCACCAAAGAGTATAAACCAAAGAAAAATATATTACGCTTGGTGGACCGAGAAAACTTCAAATCCTAGTTTTGTTTTAAGGAGTAAAAAACGGGCAAGGTGTGAGAGAGAACCCAAGCTTAGAGAGAGAAAGCGAACCCTAGAGTGAGTCTCGTTCCCTCCCACCCAGCCAACCTGTCTTTTCTCAGAAACGTGTCAGTGCAAGCGTGGTCCGTCGGAGTTCTGCACGAGGAAGTGGAGTTCGTTCCGGTAACCGACGGCGTTGGAAGCTTTGATTGGAACCGTCACCGACAAAGGCATGTTTTGAGCTACCATCGTTTACGTCTACTCCCCCACCTAGTCATTGTGGTTTGTCTTCCTCGGAGCGTCGCGATCCTTTGTCTGCGGGAGTGCCACCGTCGACGTTTATCCACCCACCCATCTTGCTCCGTGCCACCCACCGAGAGGCGTTGGTGTTCATTAAAGGGTGGTCGGAATCTCTTTGTTCATTAAAAGTTGGTTTAGTTTGTTTAAATTTGTTAGGGCATTCATGTGTTGTTGTGTTTTTTTGGTATTTTTCAAGGTATGGTTTAGTGTGGGTTGGAGTTGTGTGGAAGATTTAGTGGTTGATGGCGTTTTTGGATGGAAAGTATGAAGTTCTTTTCTAATTTTTTTGACCATTTACTGGTTTAGTTCATTTGACACAATTATTATGTCATTTATATACAATTCCATATCCAAAGAACCATTTTTTGTTAAACTCATAGTGCAAAAACTGCAGTGGTAGCAAAGGCAAAATAAATGGGGACTTCAGACAAATGTTTAGCACAACCAGGTCAACTACGTTGAAGGTACAACACTTGCAACGCACCAAGCCAACCAAACTTGTAAGTTTTTAATGTTTATTTCTGCAAATAAAATTTTTTATTATTTTACTGATATGTTAAATAACATTATTTGTATGTTGGACTTTGTTTGAAGTAGATATGAACAATACAATACTAGTGGAAAAATACCTTTCTATAACGAAGCTATTATAACGTATAAAAATTATCCGTCACCGGTGACAAGATGGTAATAAAAATAGGACATATTATAACGTAGTTTTGTAAATCAGTTATAATATGAAACGCGGTGTTGGCAACTTGTCAATAAGTGTCAACCACTTATAACGTAGTTTAAAAATCATTATAATTATAAAATATTCGGTGGTAAACTTTATAATATAGGTTCAAACCTAATTTAAATGTATTAGAAAGAGTTTTAAGAAATCAGTTAGAATATCTTTTTCTCTTTAATTTTTTCACATTTCCCTCTCGCTAGATTTTCATTCAATTTCACTCTCATTCCTTTTCTTCCCCGCTATTCGTCTCATCCCCTCTCACTTGCATTTCTCGGCATCTCCGTCATCAGCCACATCAGTTTCAGAACTCAGCCACGTTTGTGGGCGTATTCCTTCGCTCGCTGTCCACGCTTGGAGGTCTCATTTCTTGTCCTCTCGCGCATTCCGAGAGAGCACTTTCATTTCGCACTCAAGAGCCTCACTCTCATTTCCTCCCATTTCGTTTCCTGGCTCTTCCTTCTCGAAGACAATCTCCTCGTCGCACGTCGGTTCACTCAATCACGGCAAGGCTTCTTCACTCACAGCATCATCTCTAGTTTCCTCTTAACCCTTCAGTTTTCACCATCCTTCATAGAGCTAAACCCTCTGTTGGGTTTTCTTCTCTTTTCAACCATTTTCCTCCTTCGATTCCATCCACCGATTAAAACCTTGTTTTCGAACCATTTAAGAAACATTTTCCTCCTTTCCCCCACCGATTCAACTCTTTGATTTACAAAAACAACCGATCAATCGTCCGAATAGGGTTTCCTTCTTCTTCTAGGGTTTCTATCAAGTTTAATCCTTTGTTTCATATTCTTCTTCGAGTTTTTGTCATATTTTCGCTACGTCTTCTCTTTGGAAGAAGCTTCGAGGATTCGCGTCGCACCTACAGTCATCTTCTCCCC